GTACAGATAGAGTGGGAGGGAGAGAGAGAGAGAAACATCGATGTGAAGGGACACATCGAGTGGCTGCCACCCGCACGACCAACCAGGGCCGGGGACAAACTGCAACCGAAGTACGTGCCCTTAGCGGGAACCGAACCCGGGTCTCTCCGGACCGCAGGCCGACGCTCTAACCGCTGAGCCAAACTGGCCAGGGCTGACATTTAATGTTTTCAATCATAGAGGTAATACATGTTCATTAAAGTTGAAAAATGGGTAAAATCTTTTAAACAAATAGGGCTGAGACAATTGGACACCTACATGTAAGAGTGAAGTTGGAGCCCTACATCACAATAATGAAGTCAAAATTGGGCTTAAAAGTAACAGCTAAACCTATAAAACTCTTAGAAGAAAGCATAGGTATACATCTTTGTGACCTTGGATCAAACAATGGTTTCTTGAATAAAATACCAAAAGCACAATGACAAAAGACAAAATATGTAAATTGAGCAACATCAAAATTAAAAACTTTTGTGATTCAATTGACATCAAAAAGTGAAAAAACCCACAGAATCCAGGAAAAGATCTTTATATTGTCTATCTGATAAGGGACTTATATCTAGGCTATATGAAGAACTCTTACAACTCAACAATAAAAAGACAAATCACCCAAATTTAAAATAGGCAATGAATTTGAATAGACATTTCTCAAAAGAAGATATACAGATAGGCAGTAAGCAAATGAAAAGATAATCAACCTCATTAGTCATTATTGAAATGCAAATTATAACCACAATGAGATATCACTATATACCTACAAGAATGGCTAAATAAAAAAGACAGACAAAACAACTGTTGGCAAAGATGTGGAGAAATTGTAATCCTCAGAAATGGCTGGTGGAATTATAAAATGATGCAGAAATTTAAGAAAACAGTTTGGCAGTTGTTTAAAATGGTAAACATAAAGTTGCCATGTGATCAAGCAATTCCACTCTTGAATATATACTCAAGAGAAATGAAAATGTATGTTTACATAAAAAACTTGTACACACTGCCCTGGCCAGTTTGATTCAGCAGTTAAGGCGTTGGCCCTCGGACCAAAGAGTCTCTCCAGTTCAATTCCTGTCAAGGGCACGTACCTCAGTTGGGGATTGGTCCCCGGCCCAGGTCAGGGTCATTTGGAAGGCAACCAATCTATAAATCACTCTCTCTCTTTCTCTCTCACTCTTCCTCTCTCTGTCTCTCTCTCTGTCTCTCTCTCTCCCCCCCTTCCACTCTATCTGAAGATAAAATGGAAAAATATCCTTGGATGAAGATTTAAAAAAAAACAAAAACAAAAACACTTGTACACAAATGTTCATAGAAACATTATTTTTAAGCTAAAAACTGAATAAACAAAATGTGATATATTCATACAACATTGATGTGACAGACAAAAATCGATCAGTTGCCTCCCACACGAGCCCCAACAGGGGATCTAACCCCCACAACCTGAGTGTGTGCCCTGACCAGGAATCAAACCCAACAACTTTTGATATACAAGACATCACTCCAACCAACTGAGCCACACCAGCCAGGGCAAAATGATCACTCTTGACTCAGAAATACAGGACAGATTTTAGTTACCCATACCTGCATTCAAATCCTGTCCTTTTCACTTACTAATAAATTCTTGACCAAGTGACTTACTCCTGTGACTTATTTATTTTCCATTTGTAATTAGATGCATGAGTAAACATAGGATAAACTGTTGTTACAAATAAACTCTGAAATTTAATATTTAAAATATAACAGGGTTTTTTGGTTGTTGTTTATTTTTTCTGGGCTCATATAATAGTCTGGGAAATCTGGGTTCAGGTTTGTGGCAACTCTCTCAGTATTGAGGACCCAGGCTTCTTCCAGACTTTGACTTTGCTCAGTTCTAAAATAGGGGTTGGTAATTTTTTTTCTGTAAAGAGGTAGATACTAAATATTTGAGGTTTTGCGATTCACAATGTCTCTATTGCAACTCAGATGTTGTAGCACAGAGTGGCCTTAGGCAATATGTAAATGAATGGGTGTGGCTGAGTTAACAAAGTTCTTGACAAAAAAGGCATCAGGACAGATTTGGTCTATGGACCTTACTTAGCTTGTCAACCCCAGCCCTGGAACTTTATAGTCTATCTGCATCTAGCTAGCAAAATAAGAAAGACAGACGTGGAAGAAATACACCTGCTTCTTCAAAGCCCAGCCTGAAAGTAGTGCACTTTATTCTGTTCACATTCTCTCAGTGAGAACATGTCAATACCATAAAAAATCCTACCTACTTGTAAGAGGGCCTAGGAATTTCTGCTGACTAAGCATCCTCCTCCTCCTAGCTTCAGCTGCTACTTTAGAGGGGAGGTGAATAGGTGGAGTTATCCTCTTTAACGCGCCTTATGTAGCTGCTGTAAAGATTGGTAATAGCATCTCTAAGGTATCTTGAACATAAAGCATTCAATATATTATGGTTTTTATCAATCTGATCTTATATATTTTTTACAAAAATTCTAGTCTTCACAACTTCTCTTTTTAAAGTGTTTTATTAATTCTCTTTCCTTAAGAAGTGTTCCCTGATATGATTATTTACAGACACTTTCTCCACTCTATTTCTATTCTTCAGTCTTAAAATCTCTTAACTTCCAGTTTTTTAAGACAGCACTGTATTCTGTTGTCTCCCAAGTTGAAAATTACTGAATTGTTTTGGCTTGCCTTTGTACTGTGTATTGACTGCCTGCATAATCGTCCACGCTTTCTTGTTTCACTGTAGCTTATATGCATGTCTCTCTGTTTGTGTCCATTTTTTATTGTCATTTGTTTTAGTTCCCTAGGTTGTTTGTAATAAAGTACCACAAACTTGGGGGCTTCAAACAACAGAGATGTATTGTTCCACAGTTTTGGAAGCTGGAAGCCTGAAATCAAGGTGTTGGCAGGGCCGTGCTCCCTCTGGAAGCTGTAGGAGAATCCTTCCTGACTTTCCCTGGCTTCTGGCAGTTTTCTGACAGTCCTTAGTGTTCTCTGGATTGTAGATGCATCACTCTAATCTCTGCCTTCCTTGTAGCATTTTGTTCTCCCCGTGTGTCTCTGTTCACACGACCATCTTCTTATAAGGACATCACATATCGGATTATGAGCCCACCCTACTCCTGTAAGACCTTATGTTAATTCATTACATTGGCAATGACCCTATTTCCAAACAAGGTCACATCCTGAGGTACTGGGAGTTAGGAATTTAATATATCTTTTTGGGGGTACACAATTCAACCCATAACACCATGGTTCTGTTATCAGTGGGGTTTCTCCATGTCCCAACCTGTTGCCAGTGAAAGTGGGCTTCTTGCAATGTCATGAGAAAGGGAATTTTCTGAGACACACACAGAAGAATGAGTGGTATTTATTTGCATGGAATTAAACCCTTGAGTTTCCAATGTCTCATCTCCCTTCATCTCACCAAGAAAAAACAATCCCAATTTGTCTCTAGCAGAGCTAGGATTAAAGCCAGTGTTCAGGGTCTCTGCTCCATACTTGCACAGCCCAGCCCAGCATCAGGCCAGCTTAGCTTCTGTTCCCAGCTGCAGTCCACTGTGTGTGGGTCCACATGGCCATGGGCTATGTAGCATCTAGGGCCACAAGGGTATGGAGAGAGCACAGGCAAGTGCAAGGAAGCAGGAGCGAAGCAAGAGGAACAAGAGAGAGACAGTTCCTTTGTCAGCAGATTATGTATGCCCAAATTTCATGCTTCACCCCCTAGCCAGTTATCTTTGTTCCAGGCGAGACTGACAGGCAAGCTCCTTCCCTAGTCACCTCAACTTCACTGTGTATACACCCATCTTCCCTTTGTCCAGTCTCTCCCCAGGGGTCTGCAAGGAATGGACTGGTGGTTCCCTGGGGAGTGTAAAACCAGTTTCCTGGTGAAGCTGCCCAGATGGCCATGCTTATAATGTCTGGCCTTCCCTTTGCTCTTTTACTATTATTAATATTAATACTAGCTAATTACAAGGCTAACAGTTTAAGCTTTTATTGCCTATTTGCTAGATCACTACAGTAGCTTTTTTTGTTTGTTTGTTTGTTTGTTTAATACTTTGTTTTTTTTTTTTAAATATCTCTTTTAAGGTCAGAAAAGCTTTCCAATGTGGCATAAGTATGATGTACTGGGCTTTGAATTAGAAGCTGAACAGCCTTAGGTAAGTAACTTAATTCCCTAAACCTCAGGTATTTCCTCTGTTAAACAGAAATAATAATATCTACATACCATTGTCATGAGGATTAAATGAGGTCATACATGGGACCATATACCTACTGTACATAGTACCTGATAGGTGGGCAAAGTTTCCTCAATAAATAGCACTTGAATTTATAACCTCAATTACACTACTCTGGTATTCCAACATGTTAACACCAAGGACTTGTTTTCCATTGAATGTCCCATGGAAATTAGTATTACCTTGCCCCTAAGAGACACTCAATAATATTGTACTTATGGATTTTTGAAGGCAAGGCATTTGATAAGAAGCTACTAGTCCTCAAAATAATACAACTTTAAATAAAAAAGAAAGTTGGAGGAAATTAGGCCAAAATATAAATAAGAAAATAAGTATAAAGGGCAAGATTGAGTTCACTGGTATTCTATTTTATTTGAGCCATACCAAAGATGTTTAGCTTATAAAAGAAATATGTACAGTATTTCAAAGTTGGATGTTGAAGGTAAAAAATCTGTTTTGTGTTTTAAAGTAAGCAAAGAGTTCATTTAAATAACAACACACTCTAAGGAATCTCAGGATTTTCTTGTTTTTAACCCAACAACAATCTGTTTTCATGCACACTCCACACGCAACACCAATTCTTCAACATGCTTCTCTCTGAAAAACTGCACAAGGCTAAGGAGTGTTAGTCTCATTCTTTTTATCTTGTAATGTATGATCACCTAAAATTAAATTATTAAGTTTCAGAGCTGAACAAAGACTTAATGATCATTCAATATCCTTTTATAGATAAGAAAATATTACCTGGAATAATTATGTGTTTCAGGCAACACTGCTGCTTAGTGACCAACCCGAGATGTAAAGCCAGGACTTCTGTCAGGCGCTCCCTCTTCTTTCCCACACATCCTTGTAGTGACATTGGGGATGATGAAGGGAGAATTCATGAACGTTCTCTGGGAATGAGATTGTAGAGTGCCTGTTTTACAGAGTCATCCTGCACATGGAACTTTAACATTTCTTCAAATATTGCTCGCAAACTCAGAAATATGTGCATATATGAAGGCTGTCATTAAAGCTTCAGAGATAGCCAATCCAGGGGGAAATTTTTTGGGAAAAAAAGGAGTTTTAGAATCTTTCTTCCTTCATACCCTCTATGCAGTGTTTCTCAGACTTCACTGTGCTTGCAAATCCCCTGGGGATTTTATTCATGGAGATTGTGATTCAATAGATTCAGGGCAGGGCCTGAGAGTCTGAATTTCTAACAATCTCCTAGGTGATGTTGGTGCTTGTGACCCATGGACACACTGTGCATAACAAACTCAAGAACGCAGGGGGATCGCATTGCCTCTGGTGACGGGGACACTCAGCCCATCCACAGGCACCACCGTCCTCCCAGTGCTGTGGGCTTGCTGTCTCAAGCCCTGCTTTGGCCCTCAGCTCTACTTCACTCTAATATATGCGATGTTTACTACACAACTAGAAAAATCTTTTTGAGGGAAGGGATCATGACTCATATTTCTTTGACTCTCTAGTGCTTAGCAAATGTTGGTCACGTAAAATGTTTATGGTTGATTACAATCGTAAGGGGAATAATGTTTCGAGGAAAACCTGTACTCAAAGAAGGAAGCCGTTTTTAAACACCAGTTCTTGGCCCAAATTCCAATAATTCTGTAAGCTAACCATATATATTATATCTGCTATGAAATTAGAATCATGTCATATTGTGAAATATGTGACTTGGCTCATCCAATTAACCTATGGCACAATGGTACTTTCCTTATTTTGACATAGAAATATTAGTGATTCCATTTCTACCTGAAACTAGAAATAGTAAATCATGATTAATTATGTACAACAATCCTTTGATACATTGTAATTAACCTAGTTATGAATAACAGGAAAGGAGCAAAGGGAAGGCCAAATATTACAGGCATGTTATCTGGGCAGCTTTGCCAGGAAGCTACAACTTTACACTCCCCAGGTGTCCAACGGAGAGGAGATAGACCTCTACCCAGTAAAGCTGGGGTGACATAGGGAAGGTACTTGCCTATCATTCACACTGGGAACAGGTCACTGGCCAGATTAGGTGTGGCCACTGCAAAGGCACAAAATGTAGGATATTTAATCCCCTGAACAAAGAGATTCTCTCTTGGTTCCTCTTGGCCGTTTGAGCTTGACGACTGGCTTGCAGGGCTCTCATGCTCCTGCTCCCCCGCATTTGCCTACACGGCCCATGGCCATGTGGACTCCACATACAATGGGCTAATGGACTGCAGCTAGCCTGATGCTGAACTGGACCCGGCTGCAACATGGAAGGGAAATGCTGGACACTGGCTTTGCTTTTAACTTTTCTGAATCCCCAGCTACACTTCTTCCAGGTCTGGATGAAGGGAAACGGGACTTTGGAAACTCAGAGATATAATTCCATGCAAATAAAAATCACACATTCTCCCATGCGAGTCTCAGAAAATTCTTTTTCTCAAGATATCATAAGGACTCAACCCCTAGCACTCAGTGGGGAAAAGAACAACACTTTGTATATGATCTTACCATTTGTGATAACGTAGATGGATCTAGAGGGTATTATGCAAAGTGAAATAAGTCAGTCAGAGAAAGACAAATACCATATAATTTTACTTATACATGGAATCTAAGGAACAGTATAAGTGAACAAACAAAACAGAAACAGACTTATGGATAGAGATGGTTGCCGGATGAGAGGTTGGATTGGAGGGCTGGGAGAAAAAGGTGAAGAGATTAAGAGGTACAAATTGGCAGTTACAAAATAGTCATGGGGATGTAAAGTACAGCAAAGAGAATATTGTCAATAATATTATAATAATTATATATGGTGCTAGGTGGGTACTAGATTCATCGGGGGTTGGGGGGGTCACTGTTAATTATATAAATGTCTAACCACTATGCTGTATACCTAAATTTAAGATAAAATAATATTGAATATCAACTATAATTGAAAAAAGTTTTAAATAAATGTAGAAAGGAGATATAACGAATAAGGACTAGGTTACAAGAATGTAAAGTAGGGACTAATTTTGCAAGTGATCATTCCATAAACACATATTTTTGCATTATATGAATTTTGTTATTTCACTAATCTTCCAACATAGGAAAAGCATGCTTACATATCGAGGACCTCTTACATTTCACATACACTCTTGTTTCTGATTTATTAGTCCCAAAGGAAAACATATAATCAATATTGACTGAGCATCAACAGAGAAGAGTACAGAAATTAACAATCCAATGTGACCATTTGCATTTGCATCATGGGGAAAACGACAAAAATACCCTATTTTTCTCATGCACAGGAACAGAGAGAGTGAAGGCATTTCCTAGGACAGTGGGTCAGCTGAGCATCCACGGAGGAGGCAAAGACACTGGAAACAGTTCTGTCCTTGGCATTTTTCTCTGGCACAGTAAATGGCATGTATAATGCTGTTGGGTGACAGAATTATACTCAATTCATAGAGGAATCATATTATACCGGTCTCTTTTGGGGGTAACTTTCCTAATTTTTGTCTTAGTTCTAATTTGCTATGCAGCATCGGTGAACCCATGTACAGATGAGTCATGTGCTAACATTTATTTTGCATCTTGTGTGGTTAGAGAGCTGTGCTGACGGATAGTGAAGGAAGAAAGGCTTTTTTAAAAATGTGTATTGAGGACTAAATCTGTGAAAAGAGAGGACTCTCAAAAATGATATATTGTTTTTCAAGGGTGTCGATCAGAAAGGTGAATGTCAGTGCTGACAGGTACACAGCAGGACACCAGCCAGGGGCATCAGTGCCTCTGTCCTTGATCACAAAATAACAAGCACTGGTTAAGGACTAAGGAACGCCAGATCCTGACAACTAACTTTACATGTAACTAAAGAGAGTGTAAGAGAAAGGTCAAAATGTTATAGCAAAAGAAAAGAATCTCTACAGACTGGTGACTAAGGCAACAAGTTAAGTAGTGAGGCTCAGAATAAAAGATCTCTGGAACTATTCCCCTAGTATGCCTAGCAACATGTTCTGCCTTTGTTTTGACTGTTTCCTTTCTCCCGTGCCTTCTATGAGCCAGAGAACCACACAGGATGAGTGGCCTCCAGGAAGGAAGAGATTGGTGTGGCAGGGGGTGGGATGTAAGGACTAGTTAGGGATAATGTGGACCCGGTCCCTTGGTACCCAGAGTCAAGCTGAACTGTGAGAACAAATAAAGTCGACTCTGTCTTAGGATTTTGTGATGCGATGGGGCAGAATAAAAATGCTCCTCTTCCTGTCTCCCTCAAGATTATCTTTTCTTTCTTGAGTATTATCAAGGGAGGCTGAGCACAAGATAGAAAAGCCAGTGGGGTGGATGTCCTTATTTTATTCTTATTCAAGTGTCTTTTCTCAGTAGCCTTAATTTAAATTATACTCCCTCTCCCAAGCATACTTAATTTTAGAAAAAAAAAAATGTATATGCACTCAGATAAAGAGAATGAAACGAAGGTGCAGACGGTTGGAGGGAGCTGAAGCACAGGTGCAAAGAGAAATCACACAGTCAGTTCTGTCTGTTTTCTAGATACTTCCACAAGACGGATCAAGTAGAAAATGATTTTTGGAGCACCTCCCTAGTAAATTTCTTTGTAACCTGTTTTTCTCTTAATTATTGGGCACATTTTAGTTTTCCCCATAATCACCTGCTTGTCTCAGTCACCGCCATGTTGTCTTCCTGAAATAAGGTCACTCTTTAAGGCATGACATTTAATATCTAAATAATAAGTCATTGATTCTGTAATAAGCTTACTGTTTGCCAGAGATTAATGTGTTTTACATTATCTACTCATTTGATCCTCACAATAACAATTTTGAATGGGTAGCTTCATTTTACAGATGGGAACACCGTGGCCCAAAGGGGTAAATTAACAGGCTTCACCCACGCAGCACTAAGTGGCAGAGCTGAGATTCCAGCCCAGGTAGACCAGCTTCAAAACCCACCCTAGTAGCCACCAAAATACAGAACCCAAGGTTGTTTGCATATAATATTTGTTGGTAAAATAATTCTTATTTTGAAGTGCTTTTCAGTCATATTTTCTCCTTCTAAACCAATAGAAAGTCATTTTATACTCTTCCTCATTTTGATTTTTGCATTATTCTCAAAAGTAAGGCAACCATTGCTCAATTTCTTCAAGGTTCCAGATTAAAAGCTAGAATTATTGCACAGAGAATTATTGATTTTAACTTAGGACGTTTTTGTCCTGGCCACAAATATCAGTTGATTAATTAATTTTTAAAAATATGTCTTTATTGATTTTCTTTAGAGAGGGAGGAAGGGAGAGAGAAATAGAAACATTGATGTGAGAGAGAAGCATAGATCGGCTGCCTCCTGCATGCCCCCTACTGGGGATTAAGCCCCATAACCCAGACATGTGCCCTGACCAGGAATCGAACCAGGGCCTCTCAGTCCATGGGAGGATGCTCAATCCACTGAGCCATACTGGCCAGGCAAGCTTATTAATTTTCTTATGGTTTAGTGAATTCAAAAAGCATAAAACAAAAATCTAAATTCAAGGAGAAGAAGAAATTCCTAGTGGCCTAATACCAGACATATATTCTCTGGTAAATCTGAGGGGTTCAGTTCCACCATTTGAAAATAATGGTATAGGAGTAGCTAACCCTTAAGGAAGTTTCCAGACCTAAAATTTGATGAGTTTGCATAATACTGGAAAAATATAGTTTTTAAAAAGTACGCAGCTTCCTTACTCAGGACATTTAAACCATTCTGGACAATCTACGGCAGAGAACTTTTCTGTCCCAGGAAAAAAGCCTCTGTTAAGGTGTTCCAAAGCACTGCCTTTCTAAGGCTACTATATAACATTTTTTATGTCTTTGAAATGTGAACCGTGTCTCTTAGAAA